TATATATATACATCTATAAAGAATATTATAAAAAATTATTTAAATAAGAAAATTATATATTAAGAGAGCAAATATAGAACTCACATTCGAAGTGACGACAAGAGGCCTAATTGGTGTGATACTTAGTTGATCCTTATGTTCTGCTGCTGCTAAATCTGTTTCATCCAATTGTTGTCTAATAGCTTCCATTTTCTCTTCCACTGCTCGTTTTGTTTCTGTCAATTCTTTGCTACGTTGCTCGAATACTTTTCTATTTTCCGCTAATTTTCGTTGAAGTAAAGAAGACTTTGCCTTTGGGGTTTTTGCTTGACTAATATCATCAATTGTATCATCTGTTACATCCATTGCTGTAGATTCAGTCTTATGCGTAGTATCTTTGGATGATGAAGCTCCTTCTTTACTACGACGTGATAACTTGGCTCTAGACTTAATCTTTGATAATCTTCTTGCGTACTCCTAAATACATGAACAAAAAATAAATGTACATATAATACAGAACATTTTTCAATAATAATAAAGCAATAATAAAAATTTTAACGTTATTTCTTTCTTTCCTACAATTACTAAACAAAATTCTATTATTTATTTTATTATTTATAATCTATAATATTTGATTTTAAGATATTTATAAATTAAATTATATAATTTAACAATTAATCTATAAATAAAATCATTTACTTACATTCTTAAAATGTTTCCTCAATTTTTATTCAGTAATAATTCAAAGACAATTATTTAATGTATAAATATTAAATAAGAAATATTTTTACTTGATATTCACATGACATGCAAATTTATATGTCAAAGAATAAAGTTTCTGAAATATTTAGTAAGTACTTTAATAATTTATATTACCTGAACCTCCTCCTCCTTTCTCTTTAAACTTTGTTGATTCCTCATCATGATTTCCTTGAGAGATTCTAATTGATTTTTATTCTGCTCGCATGTCTCCGTGTGTACCACAGGAGGGCCGCCTTCCATCGCGCCTGATGATTCCTCAGACGCATTCCACATTATGCACTGTACAAATAAAAGCAATACAAACCACTGCATTATCTGTTTTCCAACCTACTGGGAATATACTCTGACAAGGGACAACTGAAAGTTAATGGCAGTGAAAGTTTTATCTAATATGGCAAAATAGAGTATCACCCAGTGCTCCCATTTTCCAGATCTAATTGGATAGGATCTAGACTGGGGCAAACTAATTGCATTAAGTCTCGACGCAGATCAGACTTTTCACATTCCACCTCATTTCTACACAATACTCAGTGCAGAGACACTAAAGATCATGCATCTTTTCTCCGTTCATTATTCTAAAAGTACAACAATAACAATATTACAAAAAAAAATGTAAGTGTTACAAATTAATATTATTAAAATACTTTATTAATATCATATCATTTTATGAATCAATTAATTATACATCATTAGGATGTTTCAGAATTATTCCCTTTTATTTCTATTATTGTCCATATTAGTATTAATTCTTATTTTCATTACTTTAAAAAACTAATGTTAATTTTTCAGTTTTTTATCTTTAATAACTGCAAAAGGTTAATCGCAAGAAAATATCTGCTGATCATGCCTGTAATGTATAAAATTATAAATAGATAAAATTCATAAATAAATAATTATATAATTATTAGTTAATATAATCATAATTATATTAACTCAAATTTCTTTTTAAAAAATTAAATTTTTATTATAATCATGTATTCATTTATTTTTGATAAAAAAGAATATCACTCATATATTCTTGAGCAATACAGTTCTTGTTCAAATTTAAATTTGAGTTTATTCTTTTTTATTTTAAAAATAATATAGGATAATATATATTGAATTTAAAAAAATTGATTTGATATTATTTCTATTTATTATATAAAAGTGATTATTTAAAACAAATTTATACTTTTTCTTAGGGAACAACATAAGAAGTTGTTACATACAAATATTTTGCTCACAAAAATGTTTACATTTTTTAAAGTATAACATCTGTACTCTTTATTAAAATTATATATTCACGATAACAGTACAGAATTAAAAAATTGGCTTTGATGCGTTTTAATAAATGTTTATTAATTCAAAAACATTAAATAGAATAATACAAGAATAATAGATAGAACAATTCACACAAAAACAATAAAATATTATATTTTATATTCAACGTGAACTTATATAAATTACATACTTCGTGTTATTATTTTCAATTGTTTATATTGTATTATTATCTTCAGTAATATAACTGAATACAATCATTTTATAAATATAACAAAATATAAAAAAATAAATATAAAAAGGAGTTCAATAATCAGAATATTTTTATTTTTTATATATCTGCATTTTCAAATTTCAAAACTAAATAATAAGTAATATATATATATATGTATTGCTTAATGCATGTATTGCTAATACATATATTAGCAATACATGCATTAAGCAATACATATATATGTATATATATATATATATATGTCAAGGACAAAAAGTGCGCAGCATAACAAAAAAATATCATAAAACAACGGTATAACATAAACGAATTTATAAAAACATGCATATCAATTTGGTCAATTTAACATAATGTTCGAGAACAAAAAACTAGGGCCTCAGATTGTTATTGTGAGTCATAAGAACAAAATCGACAATGCTGCTGAAAGTGCAAAGTAATAACAATGTTAAGAAAAATTCGCTTAGGCGCACAGCCTGCGGAATCCTCGCGAATCGGAAATACGTGGTCATGCAAAACTGTTCGGTTATACGGAACGGACATATCGGACTTCGCCGAACGCCGAACGGCCGAACACGTAGCAAAGTGACGTAATCCACGCGAGGGATGCACGTGAAAGAAATGTGAGCGCGTGTTTCTTCAACTCGCGGATGTCATCGAGGGACGAACGGGGAGATCACGACTTGGAGTCTTCCCGGTGCAACATTTACGTACCTTCTGTTTGACGTCGCGTGAAGTGTCAGGAGGGTAACACGTCGCAGCTCATAATTAGGTCGTTCTGTCGCCGATCGCGGTTCCTCGGCGTTGCGAGTGAGCGCACGTCAGACACATACCACGGTGGAACGGTCCGCGGATACACGATGATACGCGATAGCGAGTGACAATGAAAATTCTACGTGAATCCACAAAACCAAACCGACATCATCGTCGTCGTGCCATGATATTCTTACGGCCGGAAGTACCGAAGGTACCACTATGCGCGCCGCACCATGGCGAGTACCACTATCTCTTCTACAGAAACAGAATTACAGTATTTGCAGTTGGTAAATTATTAACAACAGATAAAGGATACATTCGAAGCAGGGTTGCGCTAAAGTCTTTACAGATAGAATATAATGTGCCTATTATTCTATTGGCGTTGCTTTGGACTGCACATAAAATTTTTATTTTACAGCGCTTATATATTTTTATTTATCAATATTAAAATTAAATGTATTAACGATCATGAAACTTATAATTATTTCTTTCTTATTTTATTCACTTTATAATAAATTTACATATTTTACATTACTTATATATATGTATACTATTTATATAAAAAAAATTCATGTAAACTTAACAATAAATGTAACAATACATGCAAATACTCCATATAAACGTTATTTTGAAATACACATCATTCTAATTCGAGGAATAACGCTGCAGCTTTCCATTCAATGATACGCAATTAAGTCAACACAAGTGGACGTCGTTCTAGACGTTCTACTATCTTTGTTAGCCACTGAATACAAAAAAAGGCAGAATGATGTGTCATCAAGTAGAAAATATCCATTAGCGCTATTTATATCATTATCTATCTTTATAGTTTCGTTCATTAGATAAAACAAAGATAAGAATGACATAAATATTATTAACCCTTCCAATGCACTTAAAAAAAAAGAAATTTATCTTCCAATAAGGACAATGATTCAGTAGCGAATCTGATTCTTCTAATTTGGAAGCAAATTAACATGCAGAATCTTTTTTTATTTCATTTCTGTATTCTCCAAATTTATTTCTATCAAATTTTATTTTATCACTTCCCAGATAGCATAAAGAGTCCAAAAAGAATTCTTTTTTTATTTTCAATTTATATACGAAATGAATTCCTATTTACTTAATTCACATTTATATTAATTGTGAGCTCCCGAGAAAAAAATGTTATATAAATGGACATATTTTATAATAATTGTACATAAAATATGTCTTTTTTATATAATTATATATATATAATTGTATATAATTGTATATGAAATTTTTCCCGAATTCTTTTTTAAATTCAAAAGATATCCTTTTTATTTTTTAATTTTATATAAAATAAATCATACTTTGACTTTTATACAAATTAAATAATTATTTTTATTAAAAGTAACGTATATACAAATACAGGGTGTTTCTAAAATAATGCCCACTAATCATATAATGCTATTTCTAATAAAAATCGAAATGTTCTCTACATTTTTGCAATTTTCGCAACAGTTAACGAGATTATTAATTTTTAAAGATTGCCGAATAAACAGATAAAATCGATGTATAAAACAATTTTAAGATATTTTTCAATTCTTTGTGAAACATTTTGAAGATGTTTCTTAGAGAACTCTTAAAGATATCTTAAAAGTTGTTTTATATGTCGATTTTAGTCGATTTTAATATTTTGTTGAGAGTAACTAAAAAAAAAAAAAAAATTGGGAAAATTGCAAAATGGTAGAGGACTTTTCGATTCAGTTTTTTATTGGAAAAGTACTATATGATTAGTAGGCGTTATTTCAGAAATATCCTGTATATATATATATAAATATATTTGCACTGTATATATTTAATTCTTTTTCATTTCAAACATTACGCTAATTCACAAAGAACTTAAGAAAATGAATATTCTTCGAAATCAAATGGATCAGTTGCGCTATCTGAGTTAATATTCTTATTTTTATCAAGAATATTATAACTACTGAATATTATAACTTCATTCACTAATGAGTGAAATAAAAATAAACAAAAAAATAAAATTACTTCAAATATATAATACGTAACGTAAAAGTCTGCAGACTGCTGCTTTTCACCATCTTTCAATTTCGCGCCGTCTAATTAGAAAACTAATGGGAATGATTTTTTATTCAAGCGAGGAGCCGAACAGTTATATAATCAAATCAATATCAATGTATACATTAGAATATTTAATTTTTAATTATACAGTCTTCAAAAATAACGCGAGATATTCAACCGCTTCGACGACACTCTGATGTCCGTATCACCAGGACACGCTGTACATTCTTAATGTCGACATCGCGCAAAGGCAAGCATCGCGCGCAACGCAACGGCGCACTTGCAGCTCTCGGCTCTCAACGTCGCTCGCGTCATCGCCGTCGGTGTGCCTATCGACTATCCGCTATCCGCGCTTGCCCGTGATTGTCGAGGAGCAGCGTAGTTTTCCCAGTTTGACGCACCGCCGCCGTGTGTACGACGATGGAGGTGCAGCGGCTGTGCAAAGGTAGGAAATTATACGATCGCACGGAGAAATCGTAGAAATACTACGAAAATATCCCATCGCGCTTGGCCTTCCCTACTCTCCCACTTGATAGCTCGGTCATGGATGAACGGTTGAAGGAAATCGACGTACGCATGAGAGGTACGCGTATATATGTTCGCATTACGTGTTACCGATTACCATTTCATCTTTCTTGTTGTGCAAAGGAAAGAACCTATTCCACGATCATTTTTGGTTTGATGACTTTTGATGATCATAAACGAAATTCCGATAGCGCTGCGCGCGAACAGGATTTAAGCTGTGACTTCTTCACGATGAGGAAAATTTTCTTCGCGAGAATTCGTTCTCCTGTCGATTTTCTTCTCGCACCAATTTTTTTATCGCTAACCCTTCGAGTGACTCTCAGAAAGTCGAGAGTAGAGCACGAAACTTGTTCACGGAGAATTCGAGCTTTTTATGTGCGTAGAAGCGATATTGCGCGAATTTCTATTTTTTTTTTTTTTTTTTTCGAGAAAAAACGAGGCTTTTATAGAAACGTATCGTTTTGTCTTTTTGTTCGATATTACTTTGTGAGGTGGCAGCAGATAACGCAGAAAAATTCCACATGAAGAAATTGGAGCTTCGCACGTTCGCCGATGCACGTAATATACACTTGATCAATAACGAAATTTCTGTTTTCATCATGAGGGCTTGACCCGATTTCCCTTCTTGGTTTTGAAACGGAATGTCGTGTCAAAACATCGATATTTGCGACGCGTCATGGATGCTTTTGTGCGCCAATTCTACAAGAACGAATCTGACTCCGAAAGTTCGTTCTACTGGAAACAAAGTTAATGATAAATGTATCGTACCGTCTGACTATTTGTGGAAACCAATATCCACATATTTGATTATATTTAGTCTGATATATACTTTGTTCTATCTATATAAAACTAATTACATCGGCTTAGTCGAGTTCCTCCTTTAAATACCAATCTATTTACATTACAGATTAATTTACATTATAATCTTATCGGGCTCTTTTTTTTTAATTCTGTATATGATTGAAAAGTGTTGCATACAATGTGCTAATTAAATGTAGAATCACATACATTGTTTACATCTAAATTGCGCATCAATCTATAAATTTAAGAGAGAGCTTCTTAGAATAAATCTTATAATAGAATTAATACGACAGTTACAATGTACAAGTACAAACAATGCTTTCCAGTCGCTTTTAGGTATAAAAAGAATACTTATTTAAGAATACTTATTTAATAATCAAAATTATACGATTGCATTGGTGCAAATTATTGAGTTAAAATTGTAGAGTTTCTCAAATCTTTTCTTTCCGCTTGCTTTCAAGGTTATTCCTCGTGGCTTAGAGATTTACATCACTTTCAATACTTTGTTTCGCATTTAAATTAAATTTTCATGATTAATTCATATTGAACGTAAATTTTAATAATTTTTAGATCTGTTTTTTTCACCACATAAAACGTATTCACATAAAACGTATTCTAGGATATGATATTCTTTTTTATTGTATATTTTATAAATTACGTTATTTACAAATCATTCTCTCAAATTAAATTGAAACTGAAATTTTATTTTTTCTATTGCATAATTTTTTAAAAATGATAAATGCTATTATTTTCTTATTTGAACAAAACTTTGTTTTATATTTCTTTCTTTCTTTCTTCCTTTACTTACGATAATTTCTTGCTAATCTATAAAGAGAACAAAGGAGCAAAAAATATTTAATTATTAGTAACTAATGTTGATGCGATCAAGTCATAACACTGTGTTGGAAGTCAGTCATGTGCATTGTCTTGTACTATCATACATACATCCTCATCTTCGATGCGATAAGATTTCATTTGTTATATCAATGGATATGACATTATTTCATTAATTATAAAACTGCGTTCAAGGAGGCCAATGTATATCGAAGCCTTACCTCTAATAATAATGATCTAAAAATAGCCTTAAATCTAACAAAATTGTAATATTCTTAGCAATTTGCAATTTTTTTACATTAGCATATATGAATGTCATATCTTTATCTTGCCAATTGATAATAAACTGGTGATAATGAACAATTGATAATGAACTAATTGGTAATGAACTGGTCTGACCATTATTTTTACTCTCCGGCCGATTGATACACTTTCAGAAAGGATTTCTAATAACGAGAGGAAAAATTCTTGATGTACTTAATCTTAGTTTAACTGTATAAAACTATAACTGTACTAAAATTAAATTAATTTTTATTATACTCCCTCGAATAAAATAAGATCGACATCTTGTCTTGAGACTAATATGTAACATATATAAAGTTAGGTTTATATATTCTTACGTTTAGAATAAGTCTATCTAGTGTTATATACGTGATGCTATAGCATGACAGCGAAGTTCTCGTGATGTAGCTTAGGTGAGAGATCCTGAGTTTGAATTCTGTGCTAAGTTTTCTATTGCCGAAAAATATAATCTAAATTTTTCTGTTAAGAAAATGAATGGAATAACCTTAATATTTTATTCTAGATTTTAGAATTTTTCATTTAAAAAGAAAATATTCTTTTCTGAAGAATAAATATGATTGTATATAGATTTTCTTTTATTCTAGTTCGAAGAGTAATAGCATAATAGAAATCTTTTCTATGAGTGTACACGTATCTTACCGGCCATTAACTTTGGCCGGTAAGATCCGGCCAAATTTGAAAAAAATTGTACAAATAATTGCGGCGTAGAATGTATTTTAGCATTATGAATAATTTATGGATGATTACAATTGGTTTTCTATGATTAAGGCAGAAATTTACGTATAAAAATTAAGAAAATTGTACAGAACCGTGTTCAGAATTCCAGCATATATTGATGCTGCCATTCTGCATTGATTGCTGCCAAATCGGACAGAAATATAATTTTAAAAAAAGTAGATTAAAGGCTGACGTGAGCGGAAATTTACAGCGGAACAGAACAACGAGATCAATCACAATCGCAGAAAAAAAAAGGAGAGTAATGACTGCAGAATCGTATAATTGGTCGTGCTGTTCCGTTCCGTTGTAAATTTCAGTTCTATAAAGCTAGCAGGACTAAATCAGCAGAATCAAATCAGACCTATCGGAATCAAATCGGACCTATCTTTTTAGTATTACGCATTTTGTATTAAATTATCATTAATGATAATTTTGTATCGTGTGAAAAAAATCGTAGCGCTAACTTAATATTAAGCTGGCAGAACCATTTCATTATTTTTTAAATTTGTTAACATACCTATTCTACAAATAAAAATATGATATCGTTCGCGAAAAAAATGTGAGATTTTTTTGTGAAGTTATTAATTTATAAATCGCATAAATTTATAAAAAATGTCGCAAACATTCATGCGAACATTCAAATAATTATATCGAAATCATTAGTCATACAAAAAAAATGCAAAATTTTCTTAGAAATTAAAATTCCGATTCTAAAGATTTTAAATTGGTTTAATTATTTATGATTGGTTGAATTATTTATGAATAATTTAGCATTTTTATATAAATAAATCATTTTCTATTTACAATTTTTATGAACATTTT